TCCCTTTCGGGCTGAAAGGGACTGAAAAAATTCATACCGAGAGATTCTTTAAATTCCCCTCTAATATATATTCTATTCTCTATGACAACACCTGTGAAGAAAGCAGTGAATTTTAGTTTTTGATATTTTGTTGTTTTTCAACCATATTTGATATTCAATTGACAAGTTATCGGTATCGAAGCGAGAAAGTGTTTAGTTTTTTAAGAATAAATCATACTTACTGAATATATTTTATTGAGAAATATCATTTTCATTTTCATTATCTGTTTGATAAATGAGAGTTTAAAAAAGTCATGGAAACTATATGTTATTTAAGTTTATATTATACATGCACCCTTTTCTCACATTATTCATTTTCCCCTTGTGACGTCATGTGAAGTGTGAGTGTTAGTATATAATAGTATACGCAGTATATATTTCTATATATTTCTAGTATACTAGGTACATATTTCTAAACAGACATCACCGAAATATCATTTGTGCGCAGTAAACTGGGTAACACTAAACACATAAAATGGATTTATTTATTTATAGTTACCAATGGTTGAACTTTTTCAAATATTTGGTTGGAAACTGTGCTTAAAAAAAGATTTAGTTGGAACTGAGTATTCAAAAGTGAGAACCATAAAACTCTGGAATAGAAAGACGACTTTTAGACTCGGTTTATTACTTGAAATAGCCCTATGAACACGAGACACAGCAATTGAGCAATGTAAACAGACCCGTTTCACTTAATAACTATTTAAATGTTTTTTTTACAGATAGTCAAGCAGCCCACTTCTTTCCTTAAATTTGTTAAAAATAAGTAACACCGAACGTAACGTCTTGTACACTGTGCATAAATATAAAATACATTAAAAGTTATTGGTACAATAAATTAGCAAATATAGAGTTCCATAGTAAATTACGTTGTACATTGTCCATATAGCTAAATGTGCCCATTAGTAAATACGTAAATCATGTATTGAGATTAGCCCATTTAAATACGCAGATATATATAACTCCGTCAAACCCATAATGTGATTGCTTAACTATGTTATATATCTTGTTATTACGCTGTTAAGACTCAATTCTAATCTAACATGAAGAAATAAAGCTAGTTTAAATAGAGACTCCATACAGTATACCACGAGAGAGTAAGATCGTTCCCTGTTTGATAAACAGGTTGAGGATCGTGTCTTAGTTGAGACATTGATAGTTTACGAGATCACACCCAGTGGAAGTGGTGTTGATAGTATAACCGGATTGTAGCCGTATGGATCGTGTCCGAGTTGAGACATTGATCGATTAAGAGCTTGTTTCCCTGTTGACATTCATAGCTGGCCCTAGTTGAAACACACGAGTTGAAGATCGCGCCCAGTGGTAGTGGCGTTGATAGTTCACGGGATTGTAGCCATGTCTTGACATTGATAGTCAAGAGAATTTGAGTTGTACCTGGATAGATATATGTTCGAGAAACTGTTATGGAGAAGGGAATTTACTACAATTATACATACAAAAAATATAAATATAAAGAATAAATCAGTGAGTTTAAACTAAGATCTAGAGAAGTATGTAAGAACACTTAGATCAGAAAACCCGAAAGTATGAAAGTTTTTAATATTATAGAAGTATATACCATATAGGAAAAATAAGTATTTTAACTGATATATATATATATATAGATTAAGGTAAGAGCATGGCCAACACCAAATAGAAATAATAATATATAATATATAATAAAGAAAAATATTAAGATCAAGGGATGTGAATCAGACAAATATCCACGGAACTACTTTAAGATTCCCCAAATGAACGCAAATTAAGCCAAGTAAATAAACAAGTGCCTTCACAACCATGTGAAAGGGAAGCTCCAAAGATCTTGAAAACGCAAGCCGTGTTTTCAGGAACTGTGATGCAATATCAAATATTCTAGAAACCATAATGAATTTTGTCTTTGTTTATTATCATTATGTTTTCACGATTTTCAGTCGCAGTCTCGCAGTCCTTCTTGCATACCCCCGTCCCCCCAAAAAATGATGTTTTACCCCTAGAATCTTTGTTTTGATCTCCTCTCTCACTGCAGTACACAGATTTGACGCATCAATTATGGTAGTTTCTAGTCAATATTTATTTTTTGGAAATATCTGTTTGAATAAAGTTTCTCGGCTTTTGTTTGTCATCCCGATAGCCCTTTCCCAAAGACTCTCAATAATCCCTCACCTAAAGTTGCCCTAAAGATTTCCCCCTCTTCAGGATTATTTTGACCTTTATTGTTGTTGATTTTTCTCAAAACGCTGGAATCCATTAATAAAGTTTGTTTCTCTTGGCTCCGGTGAATAACTAAAAGTGTTTGCAGAGTTAAGAATCATTTTACGAACGCAACAAGAAGGTTGCATCAAGACGAGAATACTTTCACCAGAGGTTCGGCCCGCTCTCTCTCTCTCTCTCTGACTGTATATCTATCTATCTATCTCCATAAACTTTCTGTGACCGTCAAAACGTCAGTACACACGGACTCTTCACAGACGAAACACGTAAAGGAAGAATTTTAAGATAGATAGATAGATAGAGAAGCCTGGTCATGACTATGACCGATCTTCAAATTCAGCCTCTGGACCTCTCTTGTCCGGCCAGATACTGGAGGATCTCACCTCTCAAGGAGATGAAGATGAACTGCATGAAGGAGAACTACAGCAAGCTCTCCGTATCCATATCAAGAAGATATTCAAACTGTTCTGATAATGTCAGTTTCTCCAGTGATAGATCTCATAGTATATCTCCAACCAGTGATCGTAGTTCCACAATTGATCGACCAAACGAGGGTCCAAGGGAACACTCAGACAGCTATCTTTCTCCTAGTGATTCTGATGGGGACACAGGGACCCCAAGTCCCCTCTCTCAAGGCCCAGCAACAAAAAGATTTTTGTCCAAGTATATTAAAGAACAAGTTGGTAAGTAAAGATATAAAAATAAATTTTTCTTTAAAAAAGTATAAAAAGAAACATACTTGTTAAATTGTTGCAATGTTTTGTAAATTTAATTGGTGTAATAATTCCTAACTTATCATTTACTTCATTTCCTACAGTTTGGGTGGGATAGAAGGATACTCTCTTCCGATTTAAAGAATTGTATTTCCTCCCTATTAAAGATTTAAACGAAAACCATTCTATAAAGTAAGAATGTTCTTGCAAGTATATCTGTACGCATTTTTTGTAAATAATCTTTTTGTAACCAAGCATTTTAATGTAATTTTTTTATATATGGCAGAGAGTTGATTATGATTAAAGTGAATTAATCCTAGATATATAATTTAATAATATCAACTCTGCACGATAATCACCTTTAAACTAAAAACTGAGTTTTTGAAAAAGAATTATAGTTTATTATTTTTCGTATTGTATAATTTTAAAAAACGTATACTCTCCCAAATGATTCTTGTTTATTCTTTAGATGTCCAAAGAGAAAAATACGATTCAGACTGAAAAATTAGTTAAGTGTATATAAGAAGTGTAAATATATCAGTATAAAAAAAATGTTCGTGTACAATTGTATTATTTGATTAAAAGAACGGTTAGGGTAAACCCGTTATATATTTGATTGATGAATTGTTTATGAATCCTGGAGGTATACGGTATCTAGAACTATAAGCCTGGAATGTCGGCTTTAATCTACATAATATATAATATAGGCCTTGGAGGTATGGGAGGAAGGACTGGTTTGGGCGGAAATGCCTAGAACTGGATTGGCCAACGGTGTTTATTCCAGGAAATTCCTGAGGTTTTCTCGCTACCATCCATCCATCCTATTCATCTTAATGAATCCGATTCAACAATTTAACTTATTTATCCAAATTAAAACAAGTCACCATATATATTCAATAATTCAGTCACCGGCCTAAAAATAAATTCCATTTATCCTATTCATCCAAAAAATTCCAGTCTACATATTGATCTATTCATTCAAATACATTTTTATTAGTTCAATTATTCACTAGAAATAAAAGAACAAGGCTTTTTTCATTGCACACGGAGCAAGTAAAAAATGTAAAAACTCAAAATTAACCAACAAAATTAGATAAAAGATGGTCAAAACCAAGGATTTAATGCAAGAAAAGTTATTTCAGAGGTGTACGCATCTTTTGTACTGCAGTGTACTGTCACTGGGCGGTAATGAAACACAAGACGGATGTCGAAGCCTGACATGGAATCCATCTTTCACATAAAAANTAATGTAAACACAAGACGGATGTCGAAGCCTGACATGGGATCCAACTTTCACATAAAAAAAATCAATGACATATTCTGGTCATAGGAAACTATTATGTGAATTATCAAAATTATCAAAATTTAATGCTTTTAACCTCCTCGGATACTAAACGAACACTGAGGCATCTATTCTTGTTTACAAATTCCGCCCAGAGAAAACTGGTTTCAATGTAAGCAGAGTATACTCAACTCCAATTAACTTTCCTTGCATTACATTCTTGGTCAAAACCCTCAACAAAATCTTATGAACAAGTTTCCGATGGGTTTCATTCATTTGTATTGTTCGTTGCGTTCATCCCTTCATTGAAGCATCCTTCTATACTGAATGTTTATATTCCCATCCTTCAGATTACTGGGATATGGCCGTTCAAGTAAAAACTCTCTCTATATATTGACTCTTTAACTACCTGGACATTTTTCCTCTTTTGACAACTCATCCACCTCACCTGACCTTACAAACATTCTTCACATTTCGAGATAGTTTTTATTTTGTTTTATCTTTAAAGGGTAGTTGGACGAGATGGACTAACAAATGAAAGTGCACATTTTACAATTTTTAATTTTAAATAATATGTTAATTTTAAGTTTTAAATTTAGTCTGCAAATAGAAACAAAAGTTTGAATTCAATTCTTATTACTGGCCATTTTTAGAACTTCTTTTACGTCTTACACTGCATAAGACAGAAGCAGACGGTCAAATTATGAGACTTTATTGGTATGAATTTGTGACCTCGAAGCTCCTTTAGTTTAGATATGGACACTTCTCCGCAGTCTACAGGTTGGAGGGCTGATGAAGAATCTCAAGTTCCCTTTTCTCCCTCCTCATATCCTTCACCAGCACCCTCATTCCCTCCCTCATCAGCACATTCATACCCTTCCTCATCAACTCCCTGCAACCCTCCATCATCAACTCCATCCTACCCTCAATCCTCTTACCCTTTCATGTCTAAACTATTCCCAACCCTACCCTTTTACTCCCAATCCTATCCCCGAACCATGGCACCCTATCCACCCTCCTCCTACCACTACCCTGCAGCCCCATCCCATAAAACGTCAGATCAAATTGACCCACTCCATTTGCGGCGGGACCGGCCGACGATACGACGGAAATCCCGGGAGGCGAACACAACCTATCTCTGGGAGTTCTTGTTAAAGCTGCTGCAGGACAAGGAGTGTTGTCCGAAGTATATCAAGTGGAGTAACAGAGAACAAGGAATATTTAAATTAGTGGATAGTAAAGCAGTGAGCAGACTCTGGGGACTACACAAGAATAAACCAGATATGAACTATGAGACTATGGGAAGAGCTTTGAGGTAAGAATTTCTTAACAAACTTTAATTTTTCTAATTTTTCATCATCAAAAGTTTTACCCAATTAAAATCTACTTCCTTACTAAATTAAACATTATTATTTCAGGTATTACTATCAGCGTGGAATACTTGCAAAGGTTGACGGTCAACGACTAGTCTACCAATTCGTCGACGTGCCTAAAATCGGCGAAATAATGGAAATCAGCTGTAATGAATAACATGGCCGTCTTTTAGTCTGAAGAAAACATTCAATAATAAATGAAAAAGTTAACAAATATAAAACTCTTTCTTAAAATACTTACACATCGATTTTTTTGTTCCTGGGAGTCCCAAACTCAAAACTTAAAAAGTTGAGACCCTGTTGTATGTATGTTTAGCACTATCTGTGATAAGCTGTTACCAGTTTAGTTTTATACCGAAAATAAATAAATCTACTAATAATTAGTAAATTATTTTTTAAACACTGGATTTGACTGTTTTGCTTGTTTGTTTATTTTTTCAATAAAGGTTGAAACGATAAGCACAATTTTTTGCGAAGGACCTGACATGGCCCAGTTTTTTGGCTGGCCAGAATTCAAACATGATATTCACATAGACAACTCATAAAGTTCTGCAAAAAAATTGAGTCTTTGTCACAAAATCAATTTTTTTTTATCTCTTATAGCAACCTACTGGTTTACACTTTTACACTTCTGATGTTTCAAATATAGATTATTTGATCTGACAAAATACATAGTATGAAATATCTAAGGCCTACGACATTGGGTTGCATGATATAGGGATGTAATAAATAAATCTATTTCATTTATATCTTTGTAACCCGTAAATATACGTTTTTTAATTCATTGATCCTAGTTCCGGTCAACTTATTTACCCGTACCTTTTTATACCTTAAAGGGAGTGTTCGCGAAAAATGAAAGGGTGTATAGGCTTAATGCGATAAAAAAGCGCTTTTGATCGCTACTAATCTTATTTCTATCTGTTGCGTCTATAAGGAGAAAATTGTTAAAGACGTCTCATACCGAATAACTTAGCGTCCATACAAATTGAGAAAATTGCAACATACGTCTTAGACCGTAAAAAATCAATTTAATTTCAAAC